ATATAGCATGGTCTAACATTGAAACTCTGAACAACCTTGAGCTAGCAGTTTGTAGTGGTGTCTGATAGGCATTAAGTATCACTGTTTCCTTTGGAAATTTAAAATATTCCATGGTTCCCCATGAGTTCACCAAGGTACCAAGGCAGGATAGCTCGAAAAGTCAAAAGGCTTTGCACAGATCACGGACACAATCTAACTTCATGTTCAAACACTCTAATGCCTTTGTAGAGGTGGTTAGAGACCAGACCCCAGTAAGACAATTGCAAGTATATCAGGTGAGGAGGAATGAGGAGGATGCATATTGCAACATGAGCAAAGGAGATGTGAGAGGGAGATTTAAGTACACAAATGCATAGTTCTTGCTAATTACATGAATCTAAGGGAGTGAGGTGTAGTGGCATAAATGAGAAAGTGGGTGAGTTCCTTTTCCAATGGGGCAAAAGTGTAGTTAGTAATACTAGTAACCACAATGTTTTAAAACATTTGATAACTATGTTTGAATCTAGTTGATTTCCCTTGCTATCCTGTTATTTTATTCCAAGCAATTGAGACTCATTATTCTGAAAGGGTCTGTTAGTCTTTACCAGAATTTCAAAAGATTAAACGTACCCACTCACTGGTTATTGGATATGCAAGTCTGAAAATCAGGAGAAATATGCTAAATGTAACAATATGAAGGCAAAAAGCTACAGAGATGTTTGTGACTGAAGTTATCGGTATAGATAAAAGTTTTCAAGGTGAAATACAAGGGTGTGATGAGATCATGAGCCGAAGCCTAAAGAATGAAAATAAGAGGTGAACAGAGAATGAGGCTCTTGGGAGGAAAAAATAACAAGAAATAGACAGGGAATTAAGAGAATGAACAGAGTGGTGTTACTGAGACAAAGGGTAAAAAAGTACTGGACAGGTAGAATTTGAGAAATGATTAAAAATATCCATTAAATTTTGATAACCAGGAATAATTTAGTGAAAAAATTTTTTAAAGTTCAAAGGATTAGTATGGATAGTGAAATGCCTGTAAAATTTATAATAACCTGTATTAACTTGCTTAATATAAGTAACTGCATTTTTGTTAAAAATCCTCCATCTTAACTGCTTGCCACCTAAATATAACCTCCCCCCACGTGTGACTGAAAGGAGTTCCTTGTACTCACAGACCCACATTCCTGTTTCCCATAAACTATTTCTCCTGACCGTTTAAAAACTCCCTAGCCACAAGTTCCACGTAATTGTATGCTTTGTTAACTAAACTCAAATGCTATATGGCTTGCAAAACTCCATTGTTACATTCTATATTATAAACCTGTATTTTGTTAGTGACCTAACCAAGGCAACTCCATGACCTAACCAACATAACTCCATTGCATAGTAGTCCTTCCACCTTGTCTCCATGTAACTGCCCTCATTGTTCCAGTCACCGGCTGTGCCTGGGACATAAAGTTAATCAAAATTCCCTCACAATCAAAAGTTCCCATTTTGGTTGCTAAGTTGCTAGTTTATGGTGGCTATGGTTGCTTAATTGCTATGTATCCTTGTGGTTTTTGCCTTTATCAGCTCACTGCCTGCTTCACTCGGGTCCGAAAGCCCTTTAGGACAATAGTCTGCTCTTGGTCAAAAGCATAAATAAAGAACTCTTAATTAAATTCTCTGTGTAATGGCAATCTACCTTCTCACACTCCAGTCATAACAATGGAAGTAACAATGCCACAATGAATAGGGAATGAAATCGATTCACAAGCATAGATTAGGTTTTCTAGAAATTTGGTTGTAAAAACAAAGAGCAATAGCCAAAGGTGAAGATAGGACAAGGGGGATTAAAATGTTTTTAATATGATCATATAATAAATATGCATGTGTACGTACCTTTTTTTTT